TCACTTATCGCCGTTTGGTTCACGCGCATAATACAGCGAGATTTAATTTTACGCGTTCGGAACAATCCGTGTTACCTATACTGTTATTTTTGTCACTAGTAAATTGACGACCCATATTGTATCTATAACTTAGAAGGTAAGAATATCATTCAGATCCTTCAATAGGATTTTTTTGGTATTTTAAGTTCAAGTTCTCGCGAATAATATATTTGAATTACAGCAAAATAACTAAAATCATTATTTTTCATTTAAATGTTTATTTCGTCCAAAATTGAACTTAAAATTTCTATAAATAAAAAAAATACTTATACATTTTTTAAATTTTTGATTTTATTTATCTCAGTATGAATTCATTATGAAGAATTTTGTATTAATTTTCTAAGGTATTTTTGACCGAGTGAAATATTTTTTTATCGACATTTATAGAAACACGAATGATAATTTCAAACGTCCTTGTATAGCAAATGCTAACTCATATATTAATTTATTTTCATGAAGGAATTGAATACTATACATATTCGGAATGCTATTTTAAGAGTATTTCTTCCAATTATTTTTTAAAGTATTTTACCCAAGTCTGGTATAAGTGGTATGGTTAAATATTTTATTAGTCAGTTGATCTACTCTTATATAACAAGTATAAATCGTGAGTATCCCCTAATAAGCTACAGTAGTCACTCTATGATTCGAAATTCAGGGGATCTAGTTAAAAATACAATTTATAGAGGATTTTTGATTGTTCGAGGGAAAAAAAATTGATTCAAATTAAAGAGAAGTGAAAAATTATTGTATGTATGTACATATTACATTTATTTATCATACATATTATTATATTTTACATATTAAAGAAATCTGTTATTTTTTTTTGTGATAAATTGTTGGCCACAATTTGGTCCATAGCGTTGTCTAATTTATTGATAGCATTGAAAATTGTATTCCATCTTTTTTTATCCATTTCACGTTGCTCAAAAAATTAACGTAATTTTAATAAAAGTTTAGATTAGGTAGGTAAAGTACTATAATGTTTATAAGCTACGATAAAATGTATCATTTATTAAAAATAATAGTGGTAATTGTTTACTAACACGTAAGGAAAGTAAGACAATTTGTAAGCGCTCCTCTCCCCCTTTCCTAACAAAAACCCTGAGTGAACGCCTGCAATATTGTTATCATCGCGAGAACCATCAACCAATTCGTACAATTAATTTTGAACCAGGAACAAATTCTGTATTTCCTATTATACGGTGATAATAATAATTAATATTATCTAGGTACATTATAATATTCATTCTGATAAAATTATTAGGGCTAAGTGATTATCAAAATATATATATTACCTAGGTATATAATAGATATAAGGTGAATTCCTGTCGTTTTTATAAAAATACTCGTCGGTGCCGCCGCGGCTGACAGTTGTTTCTGAAATGCCTAACAATGATAATAATAATGATAATATTCTCATCGCGAGTCTATAACGATGATACTCGTGATTGATATACCACACGCCACACTGGCGATGATTATACGGTTTTCTTTGCTTCGATTTATCAACCGTACGTCATCTTTTTGTGTTTCCGACATCGCTCATTTTAGCATCGACTTTTAGTGGGTAAATTATATTCCTTTTGTATCCACATCACCTCCACTGCCGCGCACCACCGTTTCGTGTATTGTTCAGCAGACCTTTCCACTGATCGTGTGCACCTCCTAACCTCGGCGCTTTTAATAATACATTATTATATTATTCCGTCTTGGTAACAAATCTCGCCATAACACAATATTGTATGATACACGCCGAAGTCGCAACGAGTGGTAACACATAAAAATATTCCCGAACTGCGACGTTCTCGAAGTATTTAATATTTCACCATAAGTTATCTCGCGTAAATATTAATTCAGATTTAATAAACTTCTACTTCAAAATTTTTGATTATAAGCAGGTATAGTGATCTCGCATTTTATCTCAAATCAAGTGTATCGATCATTATTTTTATCTCGGTGACGTATGTCGCGAACAAACTTTCTTTAATTTACCAACATTGAAATATGAATTTTTGAATTGTTTATTTTTTTCCGGAAAATTTTAGTATAATAAGTAGGGCTGTGAATTTGCAGGAAAGTGCATTTTTTTGGTAATTTTGAATCGTAGCTTTGTAAGTACACAATTTGACTTATGTAACAATAAATCCATTTATGAAACTTTTATTTTGCATTTTTTAACGTTTTTTAGTGAAATTTTAAGGTCATATTTTCCTTTTTAGTTCATTTTCCGGTATTTTTAATTAAATTCCGTCAATTAACAACTTTAAAAACCTAATTATTAACAGAATAAATACATAATAAATTTAAAAAAATGTTTCAAATCAATAACATTACACAAAATTCAAATTAAATCAACATTCTTTTTTTTTCTTAAATAAACACATTTTTATCCATGTAAAATGTAATGCACTAATACCTTATAATTTCAATATAAATATAAAAATTAATCAAAAACCATTTTAAATGTATTTTATACTATAATTTTTTTCCATTTTAAGTGCATATTTTATTGCATTTTTTTGACATTTTGAATGCATTTTAAAGGTTTTTTAAAGCATTAAATTCACAGCCCTAATAATAAGTTATACTTATTATATTATAATATTATATAAATGTATTTTTAAATGCGGTAACTGTTTACATAAAATGTTATCACTTAGTTACACTTAATTTAAATAATTAAAAATAATATACTAAATAATATTTTCGCATTGTTATTGTTTATCGTGATTAACCAATCTACAAATTTGAATATGATAGAAAATTGACAATTGTTGGTACTTTTGAGAGATCAAAAAATTGAACATTTTCGGTAATTTTAAAAATAATCACAAAAAATTAAGAAACAACGGAAATTTTGGACAAAATCGATTTGACAGATTATTTTGTACAAGCTTGTACATAGATCACTATATATTTAAGGTCTAACGAAAAATGTGGGTTTTGATATTTTAATTTTAAAAAAAAGTAATAACGGTACTTTTACATTTTTTAAATATTCACAAGTCATAACCTTTTGAAAATTAAAATAACAAAAAAATTCTACAAATGATCATTTATTCTTACTTTTAAATGTCATACCTACCTGATAAATCGATTCACCAAGACTAAAAATAACAGCGTGAAATTATTTAATAGTCTACAATATTATTATAGCCCCGCTGTTTTAAAAATGTAGGTAGGTATTCACACCAGTGTTATTATTTATTTCAAATCATATTTTAATTTAATTTACATGCATTGATACACAATTTCCATATTCAAATCATAATTCTAAGAAAAACTGCATGAAATTTTAAATTTTGGTGGCAATCTATCTCAACTCATCATTTTTGAAATATATACCTAGATATTGATACTGCAGAAATATTATTAGCACAAACATTTTGTTAAATGACTACCTAATAAATACAATAAACTCTCGGTTATCTACATAATTTTTGTATAATATTACATGTATTATTTATTATTTATATCATTGTTTTTTAAATAAATTATTATTGTTTTACATAGTTATCTAATAGGACAAAAATAAATATAAATACAAATATAATGTTTTAAAATTTTAACAGTGAAATGTACTTATCTGTTCTGGATAATACTCAAATCACTCATATCCCCAGATTATCAAGAGTTAACTGTTAAAGAATTATAATTTATAACATAGCATTGTAAGTGTAATAATAATATACAAAACCACTAAAACATATAGGGTTAAAATGAATAAAAATATGTCAAAAGAGAGGTTAGGATAACATTAAGACAACAATATTTTTAACAGAGCATATTTATTCATATTTCTTTGAATAAAAATTGTATGTTTGCAATTTGAATACATATTAAATGTTAATCAACATTTTTTTAATACACAATCTTAAATACTAAAATTCGAACCAATATTTTAACTAATGATAATAGGAGAAAAATCATAAAAAAATTACAATCTTTATTCTCTTACAATATGAACTGATAAGAAAATTAATAGCTATTTATACACTGTAAATATTTTTTCATATTTTCAATAATATCAAATAAGAATAAAAATAATAATAATATATTATTATTAGTCATATTATATTAAACTAAAAACTTATCCCCATATTTCATATTATAAAAGAAACTTATTATTAAAATTTAAAAATTAACATCACTAAAAATACTCAAGTCATGAATTATATTTAATTACTTAATTAATGTGTTTTAAATTATTCAATTGAACATTTTTGTCATCCAATCAAAACAAACTCATATAACATAGGTATACAATATACATTGTATTTAATTATAAACAAATTGGTTTAATGAGCATTTTTAAATATAATGAACTATATAATATTAATAATTACATAAAATGAAAATCAAATGGTTATAATTTTTTAAGATAATTTTAAACACAGATAGTATACTATATAACAATTATATTGATTTAGTAATAAATGTATTGTTCTAGAATAAAATTATTATCTAAATCCCAAGTATAAGAGACTGTTAATAAGCACTGGTAATTTATATTTATCATTTGTAAGCGCTTTATGTTTTACATAAATTAACTTAAATGAAAATCCATTTTAAATTATTATAAATTTACAAAATCTAAACGCTAACATTATAACCATTAAATTCGGTCTTAATAAGGCTATTTTAAGTAATTTCTACTCTATTAAATTAAATACATTTTGTAAATTAAAGATAAACATTACAATGACTCTCTTCAACTTAACAAATTATTGTACATAATACTGAACACAAATTATTTTTATAAAACAATCATATTCTAATCAAATATATTGTTTAAGCAAGACTTATTTTATTATTAAAATAATTTACCAAAACTCCAACCATAAAAATTAACACCAAACAATTAAATGTAAATCACAATTATTAATGCTATTAAATACAATAAACTAATCTAAAGACAAATTATTTTTGTTATAGAAACTAAAACATCAAACATTATTAAAACCAAATAAATAAAGTATAGAATTCAAACTAATAAAAAAAATATATACACACAGTGTCAATAGAAAACAAATGCACAAAATAGAAGCTGGTAACTGCAAATGTATATCTCAATTTAAATCAAGAGATCAATATTTCTTAAGACTTAACATCTAAACTGCATTTCATTTCTATCATTTTACTAATGTTCTCTGCTCGTATTTTAAATTGCTCTAACATGTCTGCTGATAGTTCTTCTTTGGTAGTATAACGACATTTATCAAAACTAAATATATCACGCATCAATTCAATGACTTGATCCTAAGAATATTAAAAATAATATATAACCAATGCAAGCTTTAAAAAAAAAAATCCACTAAAAATCATATATTTCAAAAATTGTATTTTTGGATTATATCATATTTTAATAGTAAGATATTATAAGTGAATTAAATAATTAACTTAAATATTATGTGAAGTAACAAATTATACTAGAATCCATGTCAAATGTAATGATGGTTGGTGACTCCACCTTCTAGATGCTACTATGCAATCAAAAAATTATATTTTAAGTAACATTCACACATAAAAAGATAGCCTTTATAAAATATGCGGTGATGATAACGGCTCCGATTTTGAGATCCCAGAAGGTAGTTTCAATGATAGTTGGGAAGAATTTCAAAATGTTAAAATTTGTAGTTTGTACACAAGTTATTACATACTGTTAATACATATTATTGTAATTTTTTTTCGTTTCAAAAACCTTAAACACTTTTATCTAATCCATCATCATATTATCTTGACAATGCGTAATTTTAATGTTTTTAATTTGTTTGTAGTCATCAACACCAATAGTATTGATTGTGTTAAGTGATAAAGAAAACACAGCATATACTAACATATGTATACTTAGCTATTTTTAAATAACACGCCAAATAAATTTGTGGTACCAGGTATTGAATGCCTCGTGATAAGTGGAGTCACCGACCGCCAATATATTTGACACAGACTTTAGGTAGTGTAATCAATTAATATTTACATACCTTGAAAAACAAACATATTCTGCTCAGTTCTTCATCAGGACCTAAGAAGCCCCATGCAAGTAAAGGTGACATTTGTTCAGATATGTTGTAAAAATGATGCATAAAACCATTTGGGTATTTCAATTTACTACGCTTGGCACGGAGCACTGACCAAACTGCAGTTGATAAAGCCTAAACAGACACAAATATAGTTAATATTAAATTGAAAAATGCTTAGATTATATACAATGGATAGAGTATTACAACTGAATATATTCAAAGCCAACATAATTATAGGATTTTTTACATCATAGTATGTAAACATATGTAATAAATTCTTAAAAAGTAGGTGGCAACAATTAATTAATTGTTAAAACAAAATGTACATAATATTTAAAACAAAGTAAAATTTAAAATATGATATAATTTAATATATTTAATAACTTAATGTCATTTGTATAACTAATTTTTTTTTTTTTTTGCCATACTAATTTATTACAGTTACTAAAATATAAAATGTCTAATATACTTTTAAATTATACTAGCTAATCAACTTTGCACAGAAATTTATTTATATAAGTTAAGTATAGACAAATTTTAAATAATTTTTAAGGTAATCTTGCTAAAAATAAAATGTATTAACCATTAAACCTCAACTATTTTGTTGACTATGCCTGTGTCGTGCTCAGTAATTAAAGCATAATGCTAATATGTATATTATATTATTATTTAAAATAATATTCTGATTTATATACACAAGCTAAATATACTTAATGAACTACTTTTTGAATCTTTTTGGTATCTATAAAGTAAAAAATTAATCTCTCATTACATCAATGGAGTAATTTTTAAGGAATAAACTATAACCACTTTTTTATTTTTTATTATATGTTTATATTAAGTGATTTATTTATTATACTACACTCATTATTTAAAAATCTTTTAACTTTTTCGATAATATACCTAATGAGCGTTTATTATTCATAAATAAAAAAATAAAAATTTTGAATAACATAAATATTGAATAAATTGAATATGCAAATGTATATCCTTCTAAAATTGTGTAAATTATAAAAATTAAATTAAAAGTTTTTTTCAAATTTTACTTAGAAGTGGTTTAATCCTTAGTAAAAACTATTTTGAGTACTAATTTCTGTTGTCAATTAATTTCAGATAATCATCTAGGTGGGATGATAATATCAATAGTCAGCGCGTTATAGGAAGTGTCAGAAAAATAAACAACAACAATAAAAGTATCGAAGAGTTATCATCTAAAGACATTTTGATTTAAATATGAGCCTAGAAATCACATTTTGTAATTTATTTTATGTTAGTATTCATTTCAAAATTAATTGAAATGTTTTTTTTTTTTTTTGTTAATTTTACATTTATATGAATTATATAAATATGATGATTATATTATATACAGTGGATTCCGCTTAATGTGGCCACTGGTTAATATGGGCATTCGCTTATTGTAGGCACACATGTCTGGTCCCAATACAAATGTATATTAACAATGTTAAATAAAACCTTAAAATATGGACACTCGATTCAGTTTATGTGGACAATTTTTTTTTTTATCGTAGCGTTAGAATATACACATAAGTATTTAAAAACGACTAATTTAATTGGGTTTCGTCGTATCTATGAGATTGTGTTTATCGAAAATAATAAAAATCATTACCATTCAAACAAACAAATTTCAACAAAGAGAGGCGAAAAAGTGCATAGATTTCTTGCAGAAGTTCTTCATACAAGAGGGAAACAAAAATAGTCTGTCTGATAAACTTGAAGCGTGTGCCCATTTTATCAACCAGATCCATACTAAACAGCTTAGACAACGAAAAATTATGTTTTGTATACCTTCTACATCCAAAGATTAATTTTATTTAATATATTATATGTATTTAGTTTTATTTATATACCTAGTAATTATTTAAAATTGTTTTCAATTATATGATAATACAAATATATTATTTTATTATAATTTTTTTTTTTACTAATTTCGGTTTTTATGGGCAACCGCTTAATGTGGGCAAACAGGGCTGGTCCCAACATGCCCACATTAAACGGAATCCACTGTATATCAATAGCAAATATCAATTAAAGGTAATAGTTTGATTTTAATTTTAATTATATTTATTATTTTTCTAATCATTTCTTTCATCATCATATACTTAAAAATAATTTTTTAAATGTTAAGTCTTTTTAAACCTACAATAAAGAATTTTATTTTGCATTAAAATTTGGACCCTCATAACTCAAAATACTCATCAAAATTATGATTTTTATGTATCAAAATACTTCAAAAAATATCCTATTTTAGAATATAAAATTAAAAATGTATGTTGTTATATGAAAAGTAAAAAACTAAAACATGTTTAACGATAAAAAATAATTTTTTTTTTAAAGTTGTTTTATTTTATCTGGAAATTATAAAAAAATATTTTCAAAAATGTTTAAATTTGTCATTATCAAATATCATTTGATAAACAAATCACCCTTTTATACTCATAAAATTTATTATTTAATAGATCAATTATTGTAGGATATTAAATCACATTGAAGGACTTATTATTGATTTATTAAAAGTTTAAAGACTGTGTATGTATGTAGTGAACTGTTTTTTACTTCATTGTTTATTTATTGTTTTTTAATATTTTCATCATAAAAAAAATGTAGATATTAAATATTATTTAGAAATTAGTACCAAATAAATATGATAAGTGGACGAAGGCATGCCTAACATGTTCTTTAATCTTGTTGGCTTTATAAATTGTTATAGTGGCTCAATATATAGTATCTAATATAAATAAAATAGTTAGTATTACGGTTTCTTTAAATCCTTTTGATAACCAACGATTTTGTATTACAGCAATCACCGATGTGGGTGGAGCTTCAAGATCTTCAAATGCATCCATTAAAATGTAATCCATAACAATATCATAAAATGTCATTTTTTTCACACCCCTAGCTGATAACTCATTTTCAGCCTCAGTCCAATGAACATCAGTTTTCGCCCAACTCAACATCTCTTCATAGGCTAAAAGAAAATCCTTAGGGTCCTACAATAAAATTAAATAATTTTATTAACTAATACATCAAAAGTATAACATAATTAAGACTCGGATTTTAATGCTAAGTGTATCTTTTTTTGTTGATCTTAGAAAACGCTTTCAGAGTACATAATTTGTTTCATGTAACGAGTGCTTCAAAACTGGATTTGAGAATTATTTTATATTTTTTTTTTCATTTATAGTATAATTAGGTCATTTTGTTGGTTTTAATCTATATTTGTTTAATATACTATACAAATTTAATCTATTCAAATTTAATCTATTCAAAATATTATCTAAAGATAAATTGTTTTTGTTTAATAGGTTTATCGAGTTTTTCTAAACATATTGTTAATTATTTGATTCATTTCGATACAATTTTTATCTTATCTCTAATATTGATTAAGGATCATCGCCCGTACTTAGACAAATTACAAATAATTAGTTAATTCTTGTTAATAGCAATACTATTTTGTATGTTGGTATTGTTAATGATATTTAATTATTTTAAATAATGTCTAGAATAAAATTATTTACTTCTTCTCACTTGCATGACTATAAAAACAAATTCCAAAGAAACGTCTATAGAATAGCTAGGACTATTTACAAAGCTAATAATAGCACTATTACAAAATTATTTGACAGATCTATGGATTTTGTATAACCAAATAGAATGAAACATGATAATGCTTTATTGTTTGCCAGTAATGCAGCTCCATACATGGTTAAATCTTTATACTCGTAAAAGGAACACATCAATTGCCTCGCACGTAGTCTAAATAGAGTAACTGAAGAAGTGTGAGAATATTTTCCTAGAGTGAATGCACTGGTATCAAATGTAAAATAATTGTTACAAAGCACTTTCTAAAGTTTTAAAATTTAAATGCATGGGCTTGACTATTCTTTTACCACATCAACCAATACTGACATGTTAGGGTACTTAGATAGAAACTTTAGTATACTACTGTAACTATTTTAAGTTTATTAAGTCATCGATGCATTTTAAGATAACGAGTAAACGATGCTATAGCAAACAAAAAACACATCATTTAATGGCAGATAAAGAGATTGAAACAAACTTGATATTTTTATAAACTAAACGTGGAAATATACCAAGTAGTATAACATATCTTAAAGCATCAAGGATACCCTTAATTAAAGCAATCGATATTGTAAATAATACAAAAACTTTGATTGTATTTTAAGTAATCAAGGCAAAATAATAAAGAAAAACCAGAAAAGTATATTAGAGAAAAATTGTGGTTATACTACAATGGAATCATTGCAAACATTTTAAAAAACAAGGAAACTTCTCGATCAAAAATGTCGAATAAATTAACTCCAAATAATATTTGTCATATGAAATTTGCTCCTATTACATTCATGAACGATGAAATAAGCTTTTCCACAAACAAAAATATTTTTTCAGATAATAGATCATTAGTGTTCGAACAAATTAAACAATATATTACTGTTCAATGCAATGTTTAAAATTTAATAAATAAAATAAGCTTACTTAGAATTGAACAACAATTTTAATTTATATTTTAGTATGTTTAGAATGAATAATTCTGCCTTAAAAATATGTGTCAACATCATAGCCGCGTCAAGTCAGTTTTTCAAACTTCGGTTATTTTTTTTTTATAATAAAATAATAACTATACCTTATTTATAAATTACTGACTTGTATAAAAAAAAATTATAGGGCATTTTTAAATATTTTTAGAACATATTTGTATGGTTTTAAGGGCATTTAAATCCGGGCCATAAACATAATATTATAACAAAAAAATATTACTTTCTCGGAAAATAAAAATATATCGGTTAATATACGTCTCCCACAATCAGAAAACCACATCGAGTTTTTTTCATCCTTGAATAAATGTTCAAAAGCTTGACGAATACAATGCAACTTACACACATATTCTCTATCTGAAGCACAATTCACCAATGTCGTTCGATAACTCCTAAATAGAAATAATAAGTAATTAAATCTGAATAAAAAATTTTTTAAGATGATATTGGCACATAAAACGTGTTCACATAAAACATTTTTAAAGATTTTTGAGTTACCTTAAAAATAAAATCACTTATTACAAAAATTATAGTAAATAATATTTATGAGGGTTTGATATACCCGCTTTATATTTTATTATATTATTTTTCTCTGTATTCAACTTTAAAAATAAAAGTAATTACTGTAAGTTTAGATACTAATAATTATTTTGCTGTTTTGAGACAATATTTTTACAAATCAATAAATTATATCTTCAAATATAATATTATTCCTTATAAATTTTCAATAGGTTATTTTACTCTAAGATTACTTTAAATATTATAAAATTATTTTAGATGAACATGTTTTGTTTATATTATACTTGAGTTAAAGAGAGAAAACAAACAGTGCACTACCATCTTCTAAAAATTATTGTACAATTATAATACTATATTCAAATGATACGTAATTAATGATAATTTAACAAAAATTAAAAAGTGTGTGTACCTGCATGCAATGCCTTCAATTTCAGAATATTTTAAAGCATTTTGATATAGATAATAGTTGTCAAAATTTAATTCTTCAAATTCTCTCAAATTTGCTACCTAAAACATTACATTAAATAGTTATTATGATATTTAGGAAAAATAATAATCAAAATAGTACAGAAAAACATTAAAGCCAAATAACTTAACTTATCAACAATAATAACTAATAAAATTAGAATTTAAAACACAAGTCATTAGATATTTTAATGTCAAGATTTTAAAATAAACTATGGGTACATTAATAATTTCAAGAAATAAAGCATTTAGGTGATATTATATTCTTAATATTTTACAAATCACAGTTGATAACAATAATCTAAGGCAGGTATGCCCAACCCACAGCCCGCGGACCAAATCCGGCCCGCGAAGATGTTCCAACAGATCATTTTATAAAAATTAGAAATTTGTATAGGTGTAAAAAAAAAAAAAATTATTATTTACCAAAAAATGTATTTTATTAAGTTTTTAAGAATATAAAATAATTTTTAATGACAAAAACAAACTAACAACTATAGCGTGGAAATATTGAAAACTTTAAACACATACGATTTGAGTCATAAATTCGATAAGTGAACAAAGATAATATTATATCCGATGAAATGTACAATAGATATACCTATGACTAGTTTATATTTTATCGAAATTAACAAAAAAAAAATCCCCATGAAGCATATACGGCCCAATAGTACAAATAGTACAAATATACATTTTGAATGTGGCCCGCCAGTTGAAAAAGGTTGGGCATGCCTGATCTAAGGTATGATTGCATAAAAAATTGTGTATACTCTTATTTATCTAATCGACAAGTATGTAATTTACAAATAACAATAGTGTTTAATTTTTTTGTAGAAAAATAACACAACATAAATTCCTTGAATAGCAATGTTTTTAAATGAAAAACACAATGATGTAAATAAAAAATCAAGAGAAGGAAGATTCAACTATTAACTCCTCTCCCATCATATTTGTCTTTATATGCAATAAGTAATAACTAATTTCAAAATAAATTAATATGCCACTGTAATAAATTAATTACTTAAGAAATTATTATGCTGGGTTGCATAAAACCAATATTTTAATTTATTCAATAATATATGAACACTTTTATCAAACTATTAAATCTTTTTACTGAGTCATATTTTATGTTCCACAAACAATTGAATAAAAGTTTATTAGTTTTAAACATGATACTAAGGGTTTAAGTAAAAATTTGAAACTTATAAGAAAACTGATAACAACTCTTCAGCTATTATAATTTGAACAGGTAAAAACGCAGTGACTATGTGATAAGTTGAATGATTGGCTAAAATTTAATAAACTGAAACTAAACTGTTAGTTTTATTAACTGGTGACCAATCATTTGATGACTCAATAACGCAAATGAAAGTTTAATAAATATTTAATGAACGTTTAATGCAACCAGGCATAAGAGTATTAACTTGTAGTATTATCTAAATATAAAAAAAAACAAAACACTACAATTGATACTTAAAGAAAAGTATCAAACAATATGTATTGTTAGAAACAATTTGCTAAAATATAGTGTTTAAATTATAATTATCTTAATACAAAATATATAGCTTACATCTGTGCGTGCTGATACAAAACTATCTACTGACGAACGGCGATCATCAAACTTCAATGTGTCATCATTTCCATTCTGTTGAACACGAAATAATACTGACCTCTAAATTAAAAAATTATATAATTTTATGATACATTGCAACTTACATAAGTTATATAAAAAAATATATTAAATTCTTACTTGATCTAGGAAAAGTAATTGACATTGATCTTGTAATGAGTAAGCAGAATCCACTAACAGTTGAAGTTCTTTACAAAATTGGGAATCTTCAGTAGACATAAGTTTATTGGATACCATTGTTGAATTATTGCCAGAAAATGCTGTCAATGCATCTTCCCAAAATGATATACTACAAGCTAATGATTCCATACCTGAAAAAAAAACCAATAACATAATTTAAATTTAAATATTAAGCATAACCAACTAAACTATTAAAATATAACTTACCCATTACACCTAGTTGTTGAGGTGCAGTATATTTAACTTCTGAAGATTTACAATGGCTAGGAGAATCTTGAGTTGAAGATATCACAGATGCTTGTCGATTGGTGGATTTGATACTAGGACTTAGTGATCTATGGCTAGTTCTAAAAATTCTAAAACTAGAAACTGAAACACAAAACATAATTGTAATGAATGTAATTTTTTGTTTAAATAAACACTGTAACTTACCTGAAGGTACATCAATATTAGCTTTTCTCTTGTCATAAGAATAATGTTTGATAACAGGTGCTGATTCTCGAGAATACTTTCTTCTTTTCCAATAGTTTCCTAATACCACAATTAATGTAGTACTTATAACTAATCCCATAGATATGGATACACGGAAACCCTGAAATAGTAAAAACAAACTTTATGTTTTCAAAATTAAAGACTACATATCATTTTATTAATATATCAAAAAAATTACTTAAATTTATTCAAAGTAGTATTTTCTTGAACAAAAAATAAAATCATGAAAATATGTTAATTTTTTCCGTCAGATAAAAGTTGATAATTTAAAATAAAAACATAAATTGGACTAATATTTTTAAAATTTAGTTATTGGAAGAATTTAAATTTTAAATAAATATAATTTTCAAGTGTAATATATTGAGTGTAAAATATTAAAGGTTAAGATGATAAATTGATATGAATCACATAACTATTTGTTCTTTGTAATATTTAATCAATAACTATACTAAACTTTTAGTAGAATAAAAAACAAATAAACTTTATTAATCATTTAAATGTCTCATACAAATAACATAATGATACACAAACTTACTATTCTATTTAGATACAAGAATTATTAGAAGTTATTTTTTATCAATAAAGTTACTAGGAGACGAGTTAAAAAAAAGAAAAGAAAGAAAAGAATCATTTATATTTATAACTATTCCAACTTACTGATTTAATGAGTATTAGGTATTTATACTTATCTAACCATTAAAATATGATAGGTAAAAAAAAATAGCTAACTACGTACACTGTAAGCCATAATAGAATTGGAAACTAAATTTGGCATATCCATTCGTTTGTTGGCTATTGAACAAATATTTGTATTGATTTCATTTAATTTATCTTCAATTAATATAGACAATGATTATTTCAATAAAAAGGAAACAAACAAATTATGGGTGTACCAAATCATTAATAAAATAAAAACTATACTTACTATTCAAAATTTGATATCATAGTAATAAAACATAAATAACTACATTTAAAAATATATATAAAGTGTCATTTAGGTGCAATAATTATTTTATGCAATTCCATTATTTATAAATTAATTATTATGTACACAGTTCCCAACATTTTTATTATATTACCTATTTTGTTAATTAAAACATTATATAATATTACTCATTACAATTTAATTTTAAGATATATTAACAAAATATATTAGGTATAAAAACAATTTCAAATATAAAACAAGTTACCTAATCCAAAACCTACTGTTTTTGGTTTTCTAGTTTAGGTAATACCTGTGGGTATACATACTTTATTTTGATAAAAATATAAAAAAGGAATAAATATTTATTGGAAGGAAAAAAAATAAAATATACTTCCACCTAATAACAATACAAATATTACGATTGTATCAAAACAAAATATAATCAATAATAAATAATAGGTGTCACATGAACAAATTAAAAGTATGTAATTAATATTTTCATTGACAAAATAATAGCAAATAACACAGAAAATATACTGATTGATTTAGAAAATACTATAGAATTTTAGTTATAAGTAGCAGATTATTTAAATACAATACATTTAAAAAACAAACATTTGAAATACAATATTGGTAATAAGAATTTACTTGAAATAAAAATATTACAAACAATTGTTATGAAATCAAAAATATTAAATTAATTAGTGACATTGATGTAGATACACAATCAATCAGAACTATAACAACAAACAAGAAATATGAGTTATTTTATTATTCACTGAGTATTCTTAGTATTATACCTAAGTAAATTTCTAATTTAAGGATATTCCGTTTGGTTTGTTTTAAACAAATAAAACTAAACTAAAATAATAAGAAATATTGTTTCATTTTGTAGGGAGTAAGTTAATTATTAAACGAGTCAGTGTTGCTAAAAGAAGCTGTTTTGAAAATGATAAATGACGTAAATTATGTCCTAATAGATCAAAAAGTTTGAGGCAAGATTGACTTACATGTTCCGAAATATGTTTTCGCAAAATTCCTGTAAGTTTGGTCAATGGATACAGGACCAGGGCAGACTTTTTACCGCACATAGCTCGGAGGCTGATGATAGATTACTGGCGCTCGACGTTTTGTACATAATTTGTGGAAATAAGAAACATATTGATAAATAAAATAACGACTATAGTGAAAAAACGAAAAATATAATAATTCCAATAAAATGTCGTAGTCCTACGGCCGATCGCAGTATGACTAGTATGAGGTTGTGCCGTTGCGGTATGCGACTCTCAGTGCTCTCACTCTCTCGTCGCGACATAAACGAACCGACCTGGTTATCACAATAACGAGATGCAGCTAATCACAACTTCTGATAACATTATCTTTTACAACTCTATGACCACTAGAACAGCTTACTGATAGATAAACGCAGTAACCATTAACAGGGTTCCCGGTGCTATAACAATTATTAAGTTATCACTTGGAACGTCTTATCAAATTTTATTAATTTGAATGTTGAAGTGTTTGACATTAATCAGATGAGAATTTTATTAGATTGTAAATTCTACTCGGTTCTAAGTCTAAATTCGAAATTTAAGACACAGCATGTTATGTTGTTATAGTTAGTACATTTGAATTTGTCATATAACTAATTTATTAATTATTGGTACTAAGATAAAAACTAAGCCGAAACACTTCATAAACAGATATTGGTATCCACTCATCTCATATATATGACCACTTCAACCATAACAAATTATTTAGAAACGTCATTCTGAGATGAGTAATTCTTATTAAATAATTTATTTAATAAGTTAATTTATTATTAAACTAATTTTTTAAATATTTTTATTATATACAAACAATTCTAATATAATTAAGTATTTCATCAAAAACAAAGTAATGATATTACTTATTACTTTGTTAAATAACTACACAATACTAATTGTTTTTATATATGCTGCCATAAATTTAAGAATAAATATTACCAAATATAGTAGAAATATTGGGTATATGACATGACAATTGTGCTAACTCCAATCTTTAAATTTAATGGGATCTAACAAAATAGTTGCCACTAAAAGATTCCTTTAGTGTATAAGTTCATAATAATCAAAAACTTTATCATCTAAAGAGCGTTTTGAATTTTGGAAGGATCAGGTTATCATACATCGAATTCATAACAATTTGGTCCTTAAACAATAAAATTGTGTAGAACCACATACAAAAAGCAATGAAAACAATTAACAATATTATATATTGATTAACTCATGACGTTTGAATCGTACAATCAGTTGCACACACTTCATAAAATATTAGATGTAAAAAATCTTTAAGTTCTGGAAACACTAAACATTGAAATGCTATTTTTTTAATACCATTGTACGGAAACTGGATTATAAAACTTAATAGGCATGTGAAAATACAAGAATTCCTACTACTCAACCAAAACAACAAAAATAAATTAAATTATAACAAAAATCAATGCCAATATGTCATGTTTAATAAAATAGTTAAATTACTATTTTTCTGACTAGCATATTTATAATATCATCATAAAATGGTTTGGTATTTTAAGTTTTTGTATTAATAATTTTTCAATTGATACTGTTGATAAAGAACTTCAAAGTTTTTAATGATTACGTTTCTACAGTATATTTAAATTTTTTAAAGACAAGAAAAACTTGTTTCAACTGAAACACTTGTAGATGGAATTGTTAAAACTAAAGCGAATAATTTATAGATCTTGAGGATAATTTCTATTAACCCACCGCTCTTAAAGATTTTGTTCAGGTCAAAAACATGTTAAAGATCGTAATGCATTGCAAATTTTTTGGTTTTGGTTTCGAGATGATCCAAAGAATATTAAGTGTGTAGTGTGTTATTAAAATTTAAGTTTAGTAAATTTTGATACAAGTAGTATTTTTTATTAAAATAGTTTTTTAATTTTCAATAATACTATAAGTATAATAATATTAATATAATGAATTTTATGTAATATTTTCCAGACTAAGAAGAACAAGATAAATCTTTTAATTTTGGTTTCAAGATGATCCAATGAATACTAAATGTTCCACAAATAATAAACACTATCTTTTTATACATACTTAGTAATTTTATTATAAAAAAATAATTTCACACATATAAAATTAATTTCAAATAAATATAATGTGAGTTCACTTCACATATTTCATCTAATGGACAATCAAACATTAATCTTATCCATTATAGTTGCAAAAAAATGTAATATATTCTTATGTACAAAATCAATCATCCTAAAATTAAAAAGATATTATAACAATATACTAAAGTAATTTTATAAAGAATAACACTTACAATGAAAGTTTAAGTTTATTTTTTGACATTTAATTAGTGGCTTTTATGGTCAATAAACACCTCAATTCTCCTCACTAACACAAGACACAGATCTTTAAATAATGATTTTAGTGAACATGAACTGACACATATGAAGTTTGTCGCCTATCACATCCAGCTCACAGATGTATAGGATATTAAATTCACCTTCAACAGAAAACATGATTTGTAACTTACCTTAAAATAATAGTAGATTACCTTATATTAAGCTTAGTAGTAAGAACATAAACTATTATATGTCTACAGATTTTTTATAATAGTTTAAATTTTAAACACTTCATGACTATTTGAAAATGATTTCAAAAATCTCATAATTCATTTAAAATATCATAACTCATCTCGTTTCAATATTAAGTTTAACACTACAAACAGGGTCGGCAAAAGCTATGGGCGACCTGAGTGACTGCCCAGAGCGCCAGCACGAAAGGGGCGCAAAACTGAAAATTGTTTTTTTTCAATTTATCTTTTAATACGCATTAACAATCTATGCAATTTGAATTATTCATTATCTAATGTCGTTTTAATTGAAGATGCATCTGCAATTGTCTTATATTTGTATAATGCAGGAATATATCAATGCATCGATACCGCAGGTTATTACTGTGTGTGAACCGCAGAAGACCTCAGTGGAACTAGGGAGCTTAGAAGTTAATAGGTAGGTATACTAAAAAGCTACGGAAATGCATCCAATCCGCTGTAGACAGATTGCCAAACCTAGAATCAATTTTCACCGGTTGATGACTGATACCTAGACACTCAATTGCCATATTTGGAATTTATTTATTTTCTATACACAAAAAAGTACCGGACAATCTACGGGACTAGGACACAAGGTGTATAACACCGGCATGGGCGCCATCCCCAGACATTTTTCAAGGGAGGATTTTTTTTATACATTATTATTTTTTGCCATAATTACAATAAATTATTACAATTAGGTAAGAAATTTAAAATTCTAGAGGAAGGCAAGTGCCTCATCTTGCCCCCCCTCAGGGAACGCCCATGAACACCGGTGATGACCAGCCACTAAATATTCAATTTGTTTTTTATAGACTTATTTACGCGTTTAAAATGACACCGCAAAAATGAAGAGCCACCAAATCATTAATACCAATGTCGCAAACATCGTTATTTCCGGTTTCGTCACGAGATTTAACTATTGACTGCTCTATCCTTTTTTAATTACGGTTTTTCACGAGTCCTGTCTCCAACCAAAGGTATTCACTTAAAGCGAGTTTCGCCAGCCCTTAGTAATATTATAAACTAATAACAAAAAAGATCAAGAGCGTTTTAAAAAATAAAAATTGTAATTTTATACCAAAAACTTTTGTACTGATTACTACACTGTACGATTTACAGTTAAAGATGCCTTGTAAGATGAAATCTTTTCTCCCATGATAACTATAGCATTCCTGCCCCCTGTCACATCTGTTCTGTCTTTGTGTAATTTTCATGTCATTTCTTTCACATCTTTCAGATCTAACCTCTGTTCGTGATATTCAACCACGTTATTTAGCGGATATTAATTTATTTGTAGTTTTTTGTGTATCTAGTTAACATCTTCAAATGGATCCTGCTGCAAAACAGGTAACGTGTTTATTATATTTTATTTTATATTCTCTAAGTTGTTGATTTAATTTGTGATTCAAATACTTATTATTTATGACCTGTCGTCTTGTATTCGTGTATTATTATTCTACTTTTATTGGTAACGTTTGCTTAATTTAAATGATTCAAACTTATTTAAGTTATTTACTTTAAACAATAAGTTTATTCCAAAATAATTATAATGGAACTTTTTCAGATTGAAGTCGCTGGTGGTGAAAAAAACCCTGTGGCCGAAATGCCGACTACTTCTACTCTACAGGCAACAAGTAGTAACAATTCTTTGAAAAAAAAGAAAAGAAAAATCATACTTGATTGTACTGAACCTGTGAATATCAGTATTTTGAATCTCAAACATTTTGTAAGACTAAATTAAATTGATCAGTATTCATTATTTTTTTAAATATTATATATTTGATATTTGTAGAAAACCTTCATTGGATTAAAAATGAGATATAATGATGAAACTGAAAACTCCGAAGATGTCATTTCTGTAAAAAGGACAAATACCAAAATTATTATTTTTTCTGATGTACCTTTCACGAAAAGGTATGTAATAATGATAATATTGACTTTTAAATGCTTTTAAAATTTAGTATTATTTTAATATTGTATTTTAATTTTAGATACTTGAGATTCTTGATGAAGTCATACTTCAAAAAGTGGGAGATAGCAAAATTGTGGAAACTAGTTGAAATTGGACCAGACAGTTATGCATTCAGATTATTAAATTTGGTAAATAATTCTAATTTTGATAATATTTATTATTGAAAATATGTTAAATGTACTGATGTATTACTGAATTTAGAAAATCTATATTCATTTCATTTTATGGCTCGCTTTGCATAATATTGGTAATATAGGCAGGGTTATTGTACAAATTTAAGAACTATGATTTAAATTTTAAAGTTAAAATCAAAAATAAAAAAAAAAAAAAATTGTTATTTTATTTATAATTATTGAAAAATTATAAATGTTTAACTGATATGTCTTTCAAACATATATCATAACAAATTTTTTTTCAGTCGAATCCCTTTTAATATTCCAGTTAATTAATATATTATAAATTTCGAAGGTTAGAGTATTCTATATGTTCTTGTTGAATTGTATCATTATTTTTATTTAAAATGAGTTATGAAAATTATTAATATTGTATATGATTGTTATTTGTTCTTTGATTAAATTCAAGAGAAAAATCTGAAAACAAATTCCAATTATTTCTTACCTTTATATTTTAAAATATATCAATTAGTTGTGATTCTTAAACTAACAACACATCCAAATTATGCATTTAGTTCTAAAAAATTAGAGTACTAATAAGTTATACTTATGATCCTGTTTCTACCTATAAAAATAGTTTTGTACTATCTAAATGCATCTCTATTTCTTTTCTTTTTTTTTAATATATAAATTCAATTAATTATAGAGTATGATCACAATATTAAAAAATTAGTCTCTGTTTTTATAATTTACAAACATAATATAGGTTAATCCTTTTGCTTTAAATATCCGATTTATGAGAAATGCTTCCCCAGCTAATGATAGGAATGGGAGGTGAGAGATAACAAAATCTCTCTGGATGCAAACTGTAATGGTCATTTTTGTATGCTATTAAACTCTGTGAATAGTCAAAGTCTGTCCCTTTTTATATTATTCTAACCATAAAATATTGTGATCTCCCAATTTACTTATGCAAAATAGTTAATCATTAATAATATATAAATCCAGGCAAACTATTATATTTGATTTGAATTATATTTTGTTATGAATGAAGATTAGGTTAAATTATGTTTCATATTTAAGAATAAAATTTTTCAAGTAATTTTTATTTAGTTCAGAACTTAAGATTCTCAATATTTGCAAAAATAAAAAATAATATGTGGATCAGATCAATAACTTCAATTTGGAAATAATGAAATATTTAATAGAAATCTATGTTTTTAATATGTAACTAGCATTTATAACAATAACTGATCAATTATATTAATCTAATTTCATCAGTTTGACAACAAATTAAGAAGTTCAAAGAGTAGATTTATTCTTGCTGATATTTACATATTGTTTTTTTATAGTTTAAAAATGTATACATTATAATCCATTTTCTTACTTTTATCTTGTGGAATTATAAATAGTTAATTTAAAATGTTGATTTAATAGTTGCTGTACATTTTAAATTAATTAATTTGTAAATGGTTTGTTACAGGTCACTATTAAAGATATCGAGTCGAAAATTAATGAGATATATTCCGATGTAAATTCTAACTCTGAATAAAATAAAAATATTAATTTTATCACTAATTTTTTATATTACATACCTATCTACTTGCCACGTGGAACTGTGACTAAGCATTATATCATAATATAATCAATAACAACATATTAATGCCAATATGCTATATTGTGTATTTTAATTACATACTTAGAAAATATTATTTTATTTTCAAGTGTCTACACTAATAAAAACTTCTTTTATCTAAATGAATACAATAGAGTCTTGCTTATCCGGTCATCCAGACAAATTATATTTCATACTTTAGTACTTGTATGTTTATACTAAAAATACATACACATATAAAAATGATTTATGTCAATATCGATTGTTATCTACTATAAGATGTATATTAATTGATATATATATACATATTCTATAGGTTATAATTAAGGTTTAATTTTTTTTCTGCAAAATATTTATCAATAAGTTGAAAAATAAATCATTCTATTTAATCTGTAGAGAGTGGTCCCATCTAGTCCAGATCATCAAGATTACTGTATTAAATAAATTATTAAATTGCAACAAAAAGGTATATACTACATTTAAAAGAGCTACATATCACCTTGGAGTATTACACCCTTTAAATTAATTAAGACTTAATAATAGTTGTATTGTTTTGGTTTTCCTGAATTTTAGCTACTTTATATATAAATGTACAATATTTCGAAAACTTATAGTTTTTTAATAAAAGGCAGGTACTTAAAATATTAAGCATAATGTGACACTTACATATTGAATTTAATAAGTAGTACTTAGTCTTGTGTAATTTTAAAAATATTGTCGCACATAGATAATATATTTTAAGATTATTAAAATAGTTTGGACATGCACTATTTTCAGTATTATAAAATATTTAAATAGAAACTACTATATGGAAATTTTTGAATATTGTTTAATATTTTTTTTTTTTTTTTTTTTAACTATGTTATGTGTTTGGAAAATAAGTTCACAAACCAAAATCCTTTATGCATTTTTGCATTTGAATTAATAATGAACATTTGAAACTTGATATGTTGTAATTATTTGATTAAAAATAGCTTAATTGAGGTATTGTGTTACTAATAGAAAAATAAGTTTATAAATGCATGATAAGATATCTTTAGCAGTATTGTTGACTGATTGTCTTCGTTTTGAAGTGTGTTTCATGTTTATCATTTAATTCTCAAATTTATATTGTAATGACTCACTCATGAAGAGGTAAACTCTTTACCTACTATGCAACAAAACAATTTTCTCTGTTACATATATATATTATTTTTATTTTGATAGTTTAATAAATAATATATACTTGTTGGAAAATGTTTATTATATTGATTAAGAAATTCTTATGAAATTTTATAAATCTCAAATTATTGAATTCTTAGGATTTTTTTACTGAAAGGTAAATTCATAAGTATATTTTCAAGTAAGAAATTTAGAATGTTTTACGATGAAATTGATTGTACAAAAGAACTTTTTCTTTCTTCTTAATCATAGTAATATCATTTAAATCATTAAAACTATCAGGTTTTTCATTACTTATAGACTTTTTTTAGACTATAAAAATTAATAATTTGTTCAATTTTTTGATTTTTAGCAGAAATTTGAATCGCAAACGTATCAGTTTTCTAAAGCTAGATGTTTGTTTTATTTTTACGGTTGACATCACCTCTAGACCTTCTAAACAGTCTAAAATAGTCTCATACTTGGAAAGGTGTAAATAAATAAATTACTAACAATTGAGGTTTGTCAATGAAACATAACATAAAAATCCAGTAAGATTTTAAAAGATATGCTGAAGGAGTTAGGTTGGGTTAGAGTTTTTAGTATAAGTTTTAAACTGATTAAACCAAAATTAAATGTTTTATATGAAATTGAAAATTTTTATTTTATAAAAAAAAATAAATATATGTATGAAATAACATTTTTCTAGTTTAAAGATTCAAACTAAATTTCAAATGAACATGTTGGATGTAACAAAACATGATTTTAAATTTAAATTTTATACTAAATCCAATGATAATGGTTTAAAAGTTATGATATCAAAAACGACTATTTTATAAAAATTTGAAAACTTGAGTTTTGTATAAACTTTAATATTAAAATAAAATAATTTTTAGTTTATCAAATGTAATATATTTATTTAATTGTTATTAAGTGGTTTTTTTATAGTTTATGATTTATGGCAAAACTGATGGTATAAGTTTTAAAATGATTAAACCAAAATTGAATGTTTTATATGAAATTATATTTTTTTTAATTCATCAAGTATATTATATTACTTAAATGTTTATTAAGTGGGTTATTTTTGAGTTTATGACTCGTACCCAATCTGAATCTAATGGTAATGGTAATGGTTTTAAAGATGTCAAATGGAAACAAAACTTATGTACAGATACATGCACCTACTTGTACAAAAATACTGCTTAAAATTAACTTATTATTAGCAGCTAATTGAATTTCAACGTGGTTATAACACCTTACATGGTGTTGACGTTTGACAATTCCTATATATTTTTGAAGCGTATTGATGACAGTAATGACACACAAACCTTTTCAGGCCCTTCCAGACACTAGTGCATAGAGCATCAATATGCCTTGCATAGTATATTAGTTATCAATGTTATCATTGTTGGAACATTTCTGGAAAAAACACACTGGCATCAGTTGTTCTTTTGACAATTTATTTTTTCCTATGCAGCTGGTGTTCTCATTAAACACTTCGTATACTAACATAGGAAAAAAGTAATAAGTTCTTTTGTTTTTCGTAACCATATGTGCTTGGTATTTTACCTAATATTAAATGTAACATAGAATATCATCAGCTAATAACTAGGGTTAGGATGTTCATGATTTTGCATATTTTTTTTAGGTTTTCCAATAGCATCCATTCTTATACAGAAATATGTTTCATGATATTTATATTCAAAATATCATAATTTTATTTTGCATATAAGTGCATATTTTACCATTTTTTTTAAAAAGTGCATAATTTGTGTTTTTTTCTGTTTTTAAGCGCATATTTGACGGTTTTCGATGCAAATTGCTGAAAAACACTGTAATTTTATATTTTACTGAATCTTATATAAGTTTGATTATCTGTATTTCACATATTATCATTTATCACTTATTTATTGTTAAGAATTCAATATTATGGTTTTACCTATTCGGAGTAAATAATATAAAGGTACCTACTTAAATAGAATTTTCGATAAGCTTCGTCATTTGTCACAGTCAAAACTTATCTTAAAACTGCGAGTCATTAAAATTTTATCAGATATTTTAACAGAACGTATATATATAATAAATCTAAATTAAATTATAATAATTTAAATAAATACAATTTTTTACATAGAGATTTTTTGTTCAATAGATTCAAAAACGTATTAGCACCAAACAGACGAAGATTTACAGCGGAACATTTATATAAACATAGCATTCTAAATATTGTGTTAAAAACAATATTTTGTTTTAAATTTCGGTATGCGATTTTGTGAAATATCTCAATTTTAAAAATAATACTAACTATATCTAATTATAACTATTATATTTTTATAATTGACGATTACACATTATACCATAATAACTATTATATCTTTATTTTTATTTTATTTGGTGGAAAAGCATATATTGTGAAGGAAAGATACACTTTGGTGAAACGGCATCGCCCAAAATCAGTTCTACTCAGTTTGTTCGTTCACTTTTTCGACCCATCTGTAATAGATTATATCTATAATATTTTGAAGCGAAACTAAACTAGAATAATCATTACTAATAAGATGTCTTTTCATTTACGCTTTATCTTATCGTTTTACTACTTAGCATTATCGCTAAATAAACAAGTATTTTTGTAACTAAATAGTAAAGTGTACGAATACTTATTGAGCGTTTGTTTTGATAAGTAATGAATTTGGTCTTGTGTTGCATACTAAAACATTATTGCCGTGAAGTTTTTTGTGTATGTTTAAAATATAGGGAATAATATGCGATGTTAGTGTCAGAAAATAAAATATGGCTTATAAAACTGTATGCATATTTATTTAAAATAACGCGTATGCGAGTACGAATACTTTACACTCACTGTATTATATACTGTATAAGTATTGTGTAATACATGTAAATTTTAGTTGTTATCAATGACTTACCTTATTTTGCTTTATTTTAAGATCTGTTAGTTTTACTTTTATTTTATGCTTCAATTCTCCTCTACGAGGTTGTTAAAAATTCATTGTAGTGTTACATTACTACTTTGAATTCATTTTAAAATTAAAAACAAAACTACGAACAGTGAGGCTCATGTGGTATGGTGCATAGAAACACGTGAACAATTCAAAATTATATAAAAATTATTTAGTAGCCTAATAACATAATATAAATTGATGATTATACAAATGGGCTGTATTAAAAATATTAATATTATATTAATAAAACAAGTTTTGAGCTTTTATATTAGAAATATATTTATAAACGATTAATAATATCGGGAGTTCAGTTTGTGCTGCCGGGGCCGTATAAAATTAGCTACATGCCTCAACACGCAGGTTAGTAAACTTGGCACATTTGGTAACATTTATTTTGACTATATCATCACTGCTGCCAGTGTCAGCCTTCAACCAACTCAACTAACTAGTATTCCTTGATATCTATAGTGACGTTATTATTATAATACGTCTATAGAACCTCAGATCACTATAATATAAAGCAGATTAAAATCAATTATTGTTGATGATGTAATATTATTGTCCATTAGTTTCCAAACAGCGTGTCGTGTAGCGTTTGCGTTAAATAGTTTCAATGTAATGAAATATTATTACTTATACTATTAA